CCACACATGTGAGTGGGTGTAAAACTTCTGTCAAAAATTTTCTGTACATATGGTTTAATCATTTCGCTAATATCATATTTTTAATAATTTTCGATAAAAAAATATCAAATATGTGATTAAAATGTTGATAAAAATTGTGGATCTCATAAATTATGTGGTAAAATTAATTGTTAATTTTGACTTAGATTTTTAATTTTCTGGAAAGACTTGTTTAGAATTAATATTTCCATTTCTTTAAGGAGAATTTAATTAGTAGGGAATTGGTTCAAGGGAACAAGAAAAATTCATTGATGAATCCATTTAAAATTGGAAATATCCTAAAAGGATTACTACTGATTAACCTTCTGGGCAGATTCTTGAATCTTCTAAGCTGGAATAAATATGGCCGAACCTTATTTTTTTTTTTTTTTTTTTCGGCTCGACTCGTTGACATAGCTCCTCTTGCGGCCAAGTTATGAAGGTTTCATGTGAAATTTATTTTTATGTGAATGTAAGAGCACTTGTTTGCAAATTTTTATTTTCTGACTCGATAATTAAACGTAAACCCAATTGAAAATCAACGAGAAATTTATGAAGACAACTAGGAATCCGTAACGTCTTTAAGGCCATATTTGTTTCGGATTAAAATCAGATTTTAATCCAAGTCAAAGTCAAACAATCAATATTAATCACATCTTTCATGGGTTTTATAGCTTTTCAACCACACATTTCAAAAACTTCTATCACAATCTACTAAAAATCTAATTTTAATTCCCACCAAATATTCTCTAAATAAGTATATCGAAAGCTAATTATTAAAACATTGAACTATCTCTTACGTAATTAGTGAATTGATGTTCAAGGCCACAAGCAACAAGATTGCTTGAATTATGTAGACAAAACCGATAATTCTTGAAAAATTGTCCAATCAAAACGTACATGAAAGAAACTAACTACAATCAAACCTTTTCAAATTCAAATTATGGGATTTTGATGATTAGGTGTGATCTTAATGACAAGGCCTGGGTAGACATCATCTGGATCATGAATATGGGGATTTTGCTCCACTATATAAGGGTCGCCACACTTGTCACTTATGCTGTGAAGTGTTTCTCCTTCTCCGACGACATAGATTTCTTTGCAGCCACGGTTGAGCAGCAACTGCCAAGACGAAGAAATCGAAAACAAGAGCAAGAAAACAACAATGG